GGAAATATGTGCGAACAATTGTTATGAATTTAATAGAAATATTACTTTTGAAAAGTATGTTTTGACATTTCTCAATCATAAATATAGCACGGACGACGTACCAAAAGTTGCAGACCTAAACGTCGTGCTGCCATCTTTAACGTTCCTATTTCCGGTGACAATGGTAGAGTCGATGCCGTCTCCGATAACCATCACGTTCTTGATCGATTTCTTGATCTCCACGTTTTCTTTGTAAACGCCTGCTTTAACGTATATCACAAGTCTCTTGTTTCTCCGAGGAAGTTTGGCTGCTGCGTTTACGGCCTCTTGAATACTTGTGTAATGACCCGAACCGTCCTTAGCCACCACAAGATCGGCTTTAGACGTAGTTTTCGAATCTTCCAAAAGCTTCCGGTCGCGAAGAGGGAGCCACGAAGGAAACTTCTCGTCGGAAAACATCAATCTCCGACTACCACCACCTCCTTGTTTGCTGAATTTAGTGAACGCCGTCGCTGCATGTTTCTCGACAACCGTCTCAGCCTGAGCCGCAGCCTTAGCAACCGCCAAGGAGTTGCTTACTGACTTAGTGAGATTCCGGTGAATGTGTATAGGGAAATATTTTGAATACGAAGAGGTTAAATTAAAATCTTTAAATCCGTTTCTGCAAGTGTCTTGATTCGCTATGGCAGCGCTTAAAGAAGTTAGTCTATCATGCGCCGAATAATCTTGACCGTAGGATCTCCGAGAGTGGTTGAGTTGGTCTATGGTGTCTTCGTAGAGCTCCAAGCAGTCGAACAAAGCTAACGTGGCGCGTTTGTGGAGAGAACGACGTCGTTTCACGGTAGACACGAGGCGGTGGAGGTGAACGGCTTGGTCCATGGTGGAGCTAACCACAAGGTCGTGGAAAGTGAGACCATCGGTTTGGTCGTCTAAAGTTTTGAGAGGTGAATCGAACAAGTGGTGGGCGCAGACGCTAGGGTATGGAGTTTGTTTGCATGAAGTTATGAATTGGGCATTGTTATGAGAGATTGATACGAAGTAAATGATTGTTACTTGGTGTACGAAGTAAATGTACTTGGTGTATAAACATTTGGGAGGTGTAAGTAGGAGTTTGGTACCCATTTGGGGATTTGGTGAGTATCGCTAGTGTTTTTTTTTTGGCTGATGACTTGCTCTCTTAGGAGGAAGGTAGTTATATATACACAAATGTATGGATAGTCTCTCTGAGTCTCATAAAATGATTGTATACACGTATGCAGCCACGTAAGAGAGTGTGATTTATGCTTGATTTTTTAGGAAAACATGTAACTTCAATTTGTATATAAATTTCTTGTTCTTTTAATTTGTTGAAATACATTTTTTCTTATTTATATTTACTACTTTTGATTTGCACCTTTGATGTGTTTTTTTAGTTCATGTATTACAAAGCCATGCACTGGAATATGATCATCCCCCACGTTAATTAAACTTCCTATTTTGTTGATGTGAACAACAACCCATGCCACAAAAGTTCCTACTCGAAGTAAACATTTTAAATTAAGAAAATATTAGTATATCTTATAGAATCCAAGTTAGCTACGGCCATTGGTTCGAACTTATGACATAAACATTGATCATAACATAAGAGCTTTATGTGAATCATACAACTACGTACGAAAGGGACTTTAGATTCAAAGTTTTAAACCATGTACAGATACTAATGGCTTGCCACATGTCACAAAGCCTGTAAGGTCGATCAGTGTGAAACAAATATAACATATAAAAACGAATGGAACAAACAGAGTAAACAAAAAAAAAGTTATTTGAACTAGTAAAATATTTAGAAAATATAGAAGATTGAAACGAACGGAATATGGTAGAAAGTTTACCAATCTATCCAACTCAAACGAAAATTGATTAAATTTGAAATCGATCTAATTTTTCTGACTTGAAATTGATTAT